AGCTGAAAAATTTTTGCTCTAAGATGTTATCTGTATTTCCTTAAGTATAGCTGGGTTCCTGTGATTGCACCTGGTGGTCTTCACCAGATTTCTCAAACCCTCGATATCTACGGGTTAGCAAAAGTATCCCATCAAACTGAACAAGTTTTGCTTTGGAGTCATATCTGTACCTATCTCCTTTAGTTGCAGAGCTAGTCCTGGTGGTCTTCATCAGATACCTACCCAAAACCTAGGATGTCTAATTGCCAGCAGAAGCGTCCCATCAAGCTGAAAAAATTGCTTTGAAATGTTATCTGCATATGTTAAAGTTTAGCTGGAGTCCTATTATTGCACCTGGTGGTCTACCTACATCAGGTGCTTCAAAACTTTAATGTCTATTGGCCAGCAGAAGTGTCCCATTAAGCTAAACAACTTTTGCTTTGGTGTCATATCTGCATCTCTTATAGTTAAGCAGGGTTCCTGTTGGTACACCTGGTGGCCTAAATCAAGCATGTACTTCAAATCTTCGAAGTTTATTGGTCAGCAGAAGCGTCTCATTAAGTTGAACAACTTTTGCTTTGGAGTCATATTTTTATCTTATATAGGGTGTATTTTTATTAGTGGCGGATCAGTTAAGGGTGTGTTCAGTCAATGAAACTGAACAACTTTCCCCAAGGAACATAGGCCGAAATACGAAAAAAATTTTGGTCTTCCCATACTAAGTCAATTTGTATGGGAGGGCCAATTTTTTTTTTCATATTTCGACCTATGTTCCTTGGGGAAAGATGTTCAGTTTCATTGACAGAACAAACCCTTAACGGATCCGCCACTAATAAAAATACACCCTATATAGTTTAGTAGGGCTCCTGTTGGCGCACCTAGTGGTCTACATCAGGCACTCTAAACCTTTGATGTCTTTTAGCCAGCAGCAGCATCTCATCAAGCTGAACAACTTTTACATCGGAGTCATAACTGTATCTCCTATAGTTTAGCAGTGCTCCTGGTTGCCTACTTCAGGTACTTCAAACCTTCGATGTCTATTCGCCAGCAGAAGCGTCCTATCAAGCTGAACAACTTATACCTTGGAGTCATATCGGTATCTCCTATAGTTTAGCAGGGCTCCAGTTGGCGCACCTGGTGGTCTACATCAGGTACTTCCAACCTTCGATGTCTATTGGACAGCAAATGCGTCTCATCAAGCTGAACAAGTTTTGCTTAAGAGTCATATCTCCTATAGTTTAGCAGGGCTCCTGTTGGTGTACCTGATGGTCTACATTAGAGTAGAATCCATCTTTGATAACTAGGAGCCAGCAGAAGCGTCCCAAAAAGCTTAACATGTTATGCTTTGTAGTCGTATCTGTATCTCCTTTAGTTAAGCAGGGCTCCATTGATACACCTGGTGGCCTACATCAAGTATGTACTTCAAACCTTTGATGTTTATTGGCCAGCAGAAGCGTCCTATAAAGCTGAACAGATTTTGCTTTGGTTCCATATCTGTGTCTCCTACAGTTAAGCAGGGTTCCTGTTGGTGTACCTGGTGGTCTACATCAGGTACTTCGAACCTTCAATGTATATTCGCCAGCAGAAGAAGCATCTCATCAAGATGAACAACTTTTTCCTTGGAGTCATACCGGTATCTCCTATAGTTTAGCAGGGCTATAAGTTGGTGCGCCTGATGGTCTACATCAGTTACTCTAAACTTTCGATGTCTATTGGCTAGCAGAAGCGTCCCATCAAAATGAACAACTTTTGCTTTGGAGTCATATCTGTAATATCTGTATCTCCTTTAGTTTAGAACGGCTTCTGTTGGTGCACCTGGTGGTCTACATCAGATACTTTTAACCTTCGATGTCTTTTAGACAGCAGAAGCGTCCCATAAAGCTGAACAGCTTTCGCTTTAGAGTCATAATATCTGTATCTCCTATAGTTTAGCAGAGCTCCTGTTGGTGCAACTGGTGGTCTACTTCAGATACTTCAAACCTTCAATATTTATTCACAAGCATAAGCGTCTCATTACGCTGAAAAACTTTTACCTTGGAGTCATATCGGTATCTCCTATAGTTTAGGAGGGCTCGTGTGGGTACATCTGGTCTACATCAGGTACTTCAAACCTTCGATGTATATTCGCCAATTCATAATATTAAGTTTGGAAGATTGGATATTTGGTCCGCGAAAGCTATCTTTCTTACCTTGTTACTCAAACGAAAAAGCATACTGTGTTCTTTGTCACACGAAAAACGCGACGTTGCCGTTTTGTGATCAAGTATCTATTCGTGAAGTTTGGCTCCGGATCTACTTAGTCTAAGTAAATGTGGCATATAAATCAAATATACTCTGGATCTAAAAAATCCTTTTCAGTGTGATTTTTTTGACCGTTAATGGATCAACGAATGTCGGTCAAATCGCTGACGAGTATGTTGAAATCGTGTCAGTGCAGATCCACTGACGTCACACGCGCAGGAAGGCCGGATCAAAGTATATCAGATCCCGCCGTGCGGAGCTGAGTATACACGCCAAAAAGGTGGATCAACATTTGTTCTAACTTCACACTGGAGCTACATTTACCGTGAACGGTTCATTATATATATATATATATATATATATATATATATATATATATATATATTATAAAGGCGGATGTTTGTGTGTGTGTTTGTTACGACATCACGCAAAAACGGCTGATTAGATTGACATGAAACTTTGCAGAAATATAAAAGGGCATCTGGAATAACACATAGGCTACTTTTTACCCCGGGAAAATGTCTCATTTCTACGGAATCACGCATATTCCAAAATTTTTGACGTAGGTGGCGTGACTGAGCCGATTCGCGTCTTTGTGGGGAAGCATATCCGTTAATTCAACAGTCATGTTGAAGTCATGGTAGCTGCGGCGATAATGCGCTTGCCTACCAAACAAGGGGACTCGCGTTCGAATCCGGATAGTAATCTCCTTATTTTTGTTTTTATTTTGTCGAACTTTTATTTAATTTAAGTTTTGTCTTACATCATCTTCCTGCCCTTATCCCAATTGCTTGGGGTCGGCGCAGCACGTTTTGCTAAACACAAAATCGTGCTGCAATGGATTCGGCTTAATTTTACGACCGGCCGCCTACCAGACGTCAACCCTCATTGGGAATGCTTCTGTGGTGGATTAACCGCCACCATACGGTTGGCCTGGCTGTTTGGGTCGGGTTTATCCCTCGGTCGCCTCTTACGACCCCCACGGGAAGAGAGGGGGTGGTGCTATTCTACTCTGCCGGCACCACACGGCGTTAAGTTTTGTCTTACGATATTGGAAAATCTTACACACTGGTCTTGCTATACTTCCTACGTGTGTGTTTGTTACGACTTCACGCAAAAACGGCTGATTAAATTGAACATGAAACTTTGCAGAAATATAAAAAGGCATCTGGAATAGCATATACTTTTTACCACGGAAAAATGTCTCATTCCCACGGGATCACGCATTTTCCAATATTTATGAAAAAGGTGGCGCGACTGAGCCGATTCGCGTTTTAGAAACTAATAGCGTCATCTCTTGGCGAGTAAGTAAGGCAAAATTGATGTATATCCCACAACACATGTATGTACGTACAAAAATTACTTGCCAATGAAAATGTTTTAACAAGATTTTGAATCCCACAAATTCTACTTCCTACTATAATATTATATAGGCGGATGTTTGTATGTGTGTTTGTTACGACATCACGCAAAATCGGCTGATTAGATTGACATGAAATTTTGCACAAATATAGAAGACTATCTGGAATAACACATAGGATACTTTTTACCATGGAAAAATGTCTCATTCCCACGGGATCACGCATTTTGCAATATTTCTGAATAGGTGGCGCCACTGAGCCGATTCGCGTTTTAGGAACTAACAGCGACATCTCTTGGTGAGTAAGTAAGCCAAATTGTGGGTGTCGTAAGAAGCGACTAAGGGACTCGAGGGTTTCATGTTTATTATAATTTTAGGCGACAGGCTGACAACCTGTCACTATAGTAATACACGATAATTTGAAGACAATAGTTAAGACGGTCTTCAAATATTTGTTAGACGTCGCGACAACGACTGTACATTTTCGACTGTTGACTCTCTGCCTACCCCGCAAGGGATAAATTCGTGATTTATGTATGACGTGTGTATTACCGTGAAAAAATGTGTTATTCCCACGGGAACACGCATTTTCCAGTATTTTATGAAAAAGGTGGCGCGACTGAGCCGATTCGCGTTTTAGAAACTAACAGCGTCATCTCTTGGCGAGTAAGTAAGGCAAAATTGATGTATATCCCACAACACATGTATGTACAACAATTACTTGCCAATGAAAATGTTTTAACAAGATTTTGAATCCCACAAATTCTACTTCCTACTAATCCTACTAATATTATAAAGGCGGATGTTTGTGTGCGTATTTGTTACGACATCACGCAAAAACGGCTGATTAGATTGACATGAAACTTTGCAGAAATATAAAAGGGCATCTGGAATAACACATAGGATACTTTTTACCACGGAAAAATGTCTCATTCCCACGGGATCACGAATTTTCCAATATTTTTGAAATAGGTGGCGTGACTGAGCCGATTCGCGTTTTAAACGTTTTCGCCGAAAACTAACAGCGACATCTCATGGCGAATAATGCTTTTTTCCCGCGGAATAATAGGTTGCAGCGGGTGAAACCGCTGACGGGCAGCTAGTAATTTTTATATGGTTACCTATCAGCGAGTTTTCAACCTGTTATGCGCTTTAGCGCGCTGGTGTTTGAGATTGTTTCCACAATCTGACGAATTTTTGCTTAATTTTTATTTTGCGAGTGGTACACCTTGTCGTCCAACATCCTACTACAAGTAGCAGGCCTCTGACATGGTTATGTTACAATCATTTAGGTAATCATAGACAGCAGCCGACGGCTTAACGTGCTCTCCGAAGCCCGGAACCATCTAACTTTTCGGACAATCAGGTGGATCCTTACCTGACTGGAAACAAATTAACAAAGTGATAAATATTTTGTGAGTGACCCACCGGGAATTGAACCCAGAAGTCCAGAACCTTCTGCTTCGCAGGCAGTCGCACTACCATTACGCCACATCATCGGCTCGGCTAGGCTGTACTTACATGACAGTCGATGTAAGTAATCTGATATTTTACTTGTGATTGGTATGATAGAAAAGGTACTGAGGATGGGTTGGTCTTTCTTTCTTTTCGTCTGGGACCCCGTGTCGTCCAACGATAAGCCCGTGTATAAAGGTTTTCAAACGCCTATTGTAAGTATTGACATGGTTATGTAACGACGGCCATTTTAAGTACCTACCTAATAATAATAATCATAGGTAGACAGCAACTGGGACTGACGGGTTAACGTGCCCCCCGAAGCACGGAACCATCTATCTTTCCGGACAAACAGGTGGTTCAGCGTGCAATGTCCTACACGGACTGAAAACAAATCACAAAGTGATAAATGTCAACTTTGTGGGTGTCCCATCGAGAATCGAATATGAAATCTTTTGCGTAGTAGGCAGGCGACGATACGGGATGGGCTGGTGATAAAGAAACTCATTCATCAAAAAACAAAGGTCGAAATATAAAAAGTATCTGGTTAATTTATTCCGATCTGGAACCATTTTTTCAAACAGTGTTTTTGAAATCGTGTATGGAAGTTCACAGCGACTGGTCTAACTCGTATCATAAAGGGTATGTGTGAATGTATAAGTTTACATACGAGCACAATTAGTTTCAGACTTCTATGTTGAACATTACTTGTGAAAATTTAAAAACAAAACTTAATTTCTGTGGCGTATTTATTTAAACTAGACATGAGAAAACATTAGCTTTATTTAACTTTAAAAGCGATACATGAAAATTATTCACTGATAGAAAACGAGATGACAATTAGCAGAAAGTCAAGGCAAATTCCTTGGCATTGACATGGTCAATGCCAATTCAAATACATGTCATTCACCCCCTCCTAAAGACCTTCTGGAGGCAGTTCATCATCAGTACCAACGACATAATCTTCTAGGTAGGCGGGCCTACGTCTCTCTCTCATCGAGCGGCGAAGGGGTTGACCTTGCTCATCGCCAGCAGCGCCAGCAGGCAGTTCAGGGCTTTCAGCCTCACTCATGTGCTCCGCATCTTCCGGTACCTCGCCGACATCTGGCTCGGGCAATGGAGCTAAATGGCGATTGTTTATGGTGGACTCTCGTCCGTCTGGATATCTTATAAAGGAGTAGTCGGGATTCGCATGTAAGAGTTCCACTTCTTCGACTACTGGATCGTATTTTGAGTTACGAACGTATTTTCTTGCTAATATAGGTCCTGGAGACAAGAGCCAATTTGGGATGGACTTCCCGTTAGCTGAGCGACGAGGGTGCATGAATAATCTCTCATGCGGCGTTGTATTGGTACTTGTGCACAATAGGGACCTTATCGCATTTAGAGCAGAAGGCAGGACTTGTTCCCAGCTCCCAACGTCCAAGTTATGGTCGTAGAGACATAATTGAATAGTTTTCCACAGGGTCCCGTTAAGCCGCTCAACCTGACCATTCCCTTGTGGGTTATAAGGAGTAGTTCGACTGCAAGCGATTCCCATGGAAGCGAGGAAGTTTCTGACTTCCGCCGATAGGAATGAAGATCCTCGATCAGAATGTATGTACTGTGGCATACCAAATGTCAGGAATAAGTCCTTCAAACACTTGTTTACAGTCAACGAAGTCATATCTTTACACGGGTATGCGAAGGGAAATCTACTGTACTCATCAATTATAGTTAAAATATACTTCTTTTCCGTGTTCGATGGTATAGGACCTTTAAAGTCAATGTTAAGGCGTTCGAAGGGAGCAGTAGCTTTAATAAGGTGGCTTACATTTCTCGCAAACCGTGGTTTCATTTGGGCGCATGTACGGCAAGACGTAGTTACCCGTTTTACGTCGTCAATCGAATAAGGTAGGTTCTTGCTTCGTACCCAATGAATCATTCTCACTATGCCAGGGTGGCATAGGGCTCTGTGAAGACCATACAGTGTGTCCGTGTTTATGTTCGTACATACTCTTGATAAGGCGTCGGCAGCGATATTTTCCTTCCCGGGTCGATAAATAATGTCATATTTATAGCATGAGAGTTCTAGTCGCCATCGTTCAATCTTCTCATTTTTGATTTTGCTGCTGTGTTGTTGATGAAACATAAAGGCAACAGATTGTTGGTCAGTAATAAGAATGAAATGTCTTCCAAGTAGATAATGGCGCCATTTACGAAGTGATTCTACAATTGCCGATGCCTCCTTTTCTATGGAGGAATGGCGGCGTTCGGGGTCAGACAACGTGCGGGAAAAGAAGGCGATTGGTCGGCCTTTTTGTGTCAATGTCGCTGCTATGGCAAAGTCCGACGCATCGGTTTCCACTACAAAGATTTCCTTTTCATCGATTGCCGATAAGGTTGCTTTTGCGATTTCGGATTTTAGAGAATTAAAGCTTGCGATTGCTTGCGCTGTCAATGGGAAATTGTGAGAATCGATAAGAGGTCTTACTTTTTCTGAAAAGTTATGAATCCATTTGCTGTAATGAGCGAATAACCCCATTGTTCGTTTCAAAGATGCAGAATTGTTTGGAACTGGAAGTTCTAGTAAGGGTTTTAGACGGTCTTTATCAGGTTTGACGATATTGTCTTTAATGGTATAGCCGAGTAGGTTGATACTTTCAGTCCCGAAACGGCATTTGTCCTTGTTGAGCGTAAGCGAGTACTTTTTGACAGCAGCCATGAATAGTTGCAGGTTTTTATCGTGATCTTCTTTATCTTTGCCACAGACGGTGACGTCATCAAGGTATGCGAAAGTGCCAACGAGGTTTTCGTTATCTATAATGAATTGGAGAGTTCTTTGGAAGGCCGCGACGCCGTTCGTTACACCAAAAGGAATTCTAGTAAATTGATAGAGTTGACCACAAGCCTCGAAAGCAGTGTAAATTTTATACGTGCTGGTTAATTTGAATAGTTGCAAAGCACATACTGTTTACATTGTAAGTGTGGCTTAGAGACGCCAAAGAAACTGTGTGATTGCATGGTCTTCGTTTTAGTTTCATAGAATAGGCTAAATCGCTATTAATAAAGCTTGAATCAGCTCCGCTATCTATCATTGCTTCAGCACGTATATCGTTTACAAGAATTGATGCAGTCGCCCTTCGCAGGGACGAGGGGGCAGCGGCGGAGATAGCGGCAGATGCGTGATTTGAAGCTACATCGGAATCAAATGCTTCAATCTGATTTGTTTCACCAGGTGCGATAGCGTTTATAGTACGTTGTTGAGGTTGAGCCCGACCACGACAGACATTTGCAAAATGTCCTTTCTTGTTGCACAACTGGCAGAGAGTGTTGAATGCGGGGCACTTTATTCTTTGGTGTATATTGCCACCACAGAAATAGCAACGTCTTGAATTTGAGAATGATGGGGTCGATGGGCCAGTTGGGTAGGACCCTTGGAAGTTCGTAGTTTTAGAAGGTTGTTGACTTTTCGTAGCGTTTAAGTGATCCATTGGTTGTGAAAAAGCCTTCGAGTCAGTTTCAGCTGTTTCTAGGGATATCGCCAGGGTTTTGGCTCCTTCTAGAGTAAGCGTCTTTCCAGTAAGCGTTCCCTGATTCTTTGTGATCTGATTCCAGCTATAAAGGCTCCTCTAATGGATTCGTTTTGGTACTCTATGGCAGTTACATCTTCGTACTTACAGTCTTGAGCCAGTAACTTTAGTGAGCGTAAGTAATCGGGAATAGTTTCATCCGAACGTTGCTTCCTTGTGGAAAGCAGATGCCGAGCCAAAATCTCGTTTTTAGGTTTGAGATACACACCTTCTAGTTGTTTTAGTGCTGTTGTATAGTCTTTACAGTCGTGGATGTAGTTGTACACCGTCGGCGACAAATGGTTTATGAGCAGCTTCAGTTTAGCGGATTCTGTTGCGGAGATTCCATCTGTGTCGCTCAGAAAATTTTCGAACGTGCATTTCCAGTGCGTCCATTGCATGCCAGCTCCAGGGGAGTCTGGATCTACCTCGAAACGTTCGGGTCGTAAGAATTGTGATGTCCCCGGTTTCGCCATTGTAATGGGGTCGAATATATTTTTGCCGTTATTGTTCGCGTTCACATTAAAGTTAAATAAATTGTGGCGTATTTATTTAAACTAGACATGAGAAAACATTAGCTTTATTTAACTTTAAAAGCGATACATGAAAATTATTCACTGATAAAAAACGAGATGACAATTAGCAGAAAGTCAAGGCAAATTCCTTGGCATTGACATGGTCAATGCCAATTCAAATACATGTCAAATTCTGAATAGGTGATATCTGAAATCGCGCACGGAAGTCCGTAACAATCGTGGGTATCACTTTCTACTACACGTTTTTAAAATATCTAGGGTATTTTTGGTATCTGTGCAGCGTCAATGTACCTACCTACCTAGAGGTAAGTTTAGTAGGTAGAACGGGTGATAGAAGCACAACATGGAAAAGTTTTCCCTATTATCATCAGTCCGTCCTCTAATTTCTGTATTGGTTTAAACAGGTAGGTAGTATAGTCTATTTAGTGCCGTTTGGTGCCGGTTTAGAATAGCATTACATTACCCCATATCTTTCCCGTGGGTGTCGTAAGAAGCGACTAAGGGATTTGAAAGTTGATGTGTATTGCAATTGTAGGCAACTCTGACACTACTGTGATAGGTACACCGTTTCTGAATGATTCTCAAATTTTTTCAGGCATACCTAGTGTAAATGGCCGTTTTTACAGCCATTTACGTTCTGCCTACCCCGAAAGGTATAAAGGCGATATATCGATTCTAACGTCGATTTTAACAGTAAATAAAGAAAATCGATTTATCAAACCACTTTACTTTACACTATGTATATAGGGTGTAATTATATTAGTGGCGGATCCATTAAGGGTGTATTCTGTCAATGAAACTGAACAACTTTCCCCAAGGAACATAGGTAGAAATATGAAAAAAAAAATTGGCCCTCCCATAAAAATTGACCCGGCCACCCAACAAACTTAGTATGGGAAGACCAACATTTTTTTCGTATTTCGACCTATGTTTCTTGGGGAAAGTTGTTCAGTT